CTACAAACATTTTTTTTTTAATGCTCTTTTCTTTCCGAGTTTTTAAAAGCTTTCTAATTGTTGATAGCAACTTGATTTCACAAAGCCCTTTTTTTAGACATAAGGAAGATGTCTTCTTTGACCTAATAAATATATATACACAGAAAGGAGATACAAAACTCTAAAAAAGAAAAAAGATAATTCGACATACATATTTTTTAGACATGAGAATGAAAGACTGTCATGTAATTTTAACTCCTTAATAAGGATGAGAGCATCCGAAAGAGGACTTTTTTCTCAATGCAAGAGCATGAAGATCCAAAAATAACTCTTCAAATATAATTTTACTCGACTCGAGAGTGGTAGATCATTTAAAATTACTTTTAAGCAAAAAAGAATTTTTTTTTCAAAATGAATTAAGTTGCGGTGTGTTTGAGGAAAATTACGGTTACCATAAATTTTTTTTAGGGTTTTACAAATACTCCTTGTTGCACCTAAAATACCCTTAACTATTATTTTAAAAATAGTTAAATAAAAAAATCTTAAAATTTTATAGAATAACATCAAAACATGGTTATCATTAATTTTTTTGATAATGAACAACATTAGTTTCACCATTTAATTTTGATCAATTTTGGTTTGAGATTTTTTAATATCTTTCTTTAATATTTATAATTTTAATTTTCTTTTTAAATAGTAATTAACGGCACTCTTTGGTTTTTTTTTTTTAAATGTAAACAAGATTTCGACCCATGTTTAATCTTTTGAACGTTGATTATAATTTCATAATATTTTAGAATGATTATTATAATTTAATGTAAAAAAAAAGAGTAAATATTTACCAACTTCCTAAAAAAATTCAAAACCCAAATAATAATAATAATAATAAGAAGAAGAAGAAGATGATGATGAAACTCCTTACCCTCACCACACTCCTCAAAATAATAATAGTCAAGTACAATTATTTGGTTCATTACATATTAATATAATTATTTAGTCACATTAATATACATTTTTGGCTTGATTTAATTGTTTTTCCTTACTAAATTAAAAAAACTCTATTTTTTTCCTCTTCGTTTCTCATTCCCATCAAATTTATTGGGTATATATGTTAGTGGTAAAAATGTGAATTGATTGTCATGATTGTTGCCAAGGATAAAAGTGAAGAGTTAATTAGACTCTTGAATAAAGAGCGAGATAGCTCGTGAAGTAGTAAGACGCAACTCCCGAGCTCCTAGGTTACAAGTCGAGGGCGAGATATAGGCTCTTGGATGAATAGACTCTTATAAGAGTGGTGAGTTTTTGATAACAATATAGTAGTGGTGATTGTCGCACTTAGGATTGTTAAATACTTTTGCTTGAGAGGAAATTGTGATCGAATGGATTGGATTCACATGTGAAGGACAAATTTGATGGGTTATACATGTAAGTGGTAATTATCTCATATTGAAAATGAATGAGAAAAGTAAGGTGCTTGTATAATAAGATGGATTCATTATTTATTAGTTTAGACTTTTGGATTAAAATGGTATTCATTTTTGTATGTAAGCCTCACATGCGTAGACTCAAATGAGTCTCCAATTCCCGATCTCTCCAGCAAAATTAACATGTCTTTTACATATTTAAGATAAACTCTAGTCATTTCTTTTTCCTTCCTTTTGGTTCTCTTTTAGAAAAAGAAAACCCTCGACCTCTCATCTTCCTAGTTCTCTCTCTCTTTTTTTTTTTTTTTTTTTAGTGTGCTAATAATTTAAATCTAGATTTGATTTGTGCACAAAGTTCCTACCTATTAGGATGTTTTGTTCTAGGAATAAGACTTTGATATTTAATTGCTAGGTTATCGTGAGTGTTTTTTGTTGTCGAAAGATATCGATGCTTTTTGACAATTTTAGATGTCCGATATATTTCATTAATGATACCTACGAGTGTATCATGTTCCTCCACTAATTCATAACAGTTCTAAGCTCAATTGTGTGTATAATGTGAAAAAAAATAAAAATTTCATTTTGGACAATCCTCGTTAGGAAGTTTCATTGAGTTTTTGTTAACACCAATGATAAGACTATTTTCCACATTGATGATCATTATTCATCATATTATAAAAAACAATTGTCTAATTTTTTCAATGCAACAAGTTGCGATTTCCTTCTTAGTTTTTAGTATCACTATACCATGTATTTGTCTCATTTGTATCATCAATAAATTTATTATCTTTTATATATGTAAAAAATAGATATCGTTTGTACATTTTAATATATACACCTTCCTCCAATCACAAAGGAAATTGTTAAAACATGGAACACGTTTTTTGGGTTTTTTTTTCTTAATCAAAATGGTAAATTACAATAATCTTTCTAGTGTATAAAAAAAATTATAGCAATCATCTAAAGATTTGAAGATATTATAAAAATTCTCTTATAAAAATAACCACAAAATTTCTCATCGTCAAAGGGATGATTTTTAAAATATTAAGCATATTTTGATACAAATGAGTATTTTGGTAATTTTCAGTTGAATATAGAGGGGGGTTTATGTTAAATCCTTAAACTTTTAGGCCAATTAGGGTATCTGCAGTTCACCCTAATAAAAAATGGAAGAAGGCGCGCGTCTTCATTCGTTTCAATCTCCGAAATTCAAATTACAGGAGTAATAATTCTCTCTCGATTTTTCTGGCGAACCAAACAGAACCTTATGTTTCTCCCCGGGAAATCAAAATTGAATTCAGGTGAGCCTCCTTCCCCTTCCAAATTCTCGCCTTCCTTATCCAAATTGCAATATCTGAAGCTTGAATCAGATATTGTGATTATCAGAACCGATGGAATTTCAATATCAATTAACTTGTTGTTTATACATTAATAAGAAAAATTATTCACTCTGTTGAGTGTTTATCATGTAGTGGATGATAATTTTAATTTTTTTCTATTTAAATAGTGAATTATAAAAACTTCAGCAGATTGTTTTAGTTCAAGAGGGAAATTTGAGAGGACAACGGAGACTGTTTGCTGTTGATATTAGGTTAGGGTTTAATCTGTAGAAATTTATGTTAACTGCGGATGGTGCACTATCACATTGTCATGATGCATCACTTGAGAGTACTGAATCGAGGGTTTCAGCTTTCATCAGTGTTGTTAGTGCTCGAGTTTGACGAATTGTGAGTGTTAAGACTTAAGGTTTTCAAAACCAGTGCATCCACGTGAACTAGTTGGATTACTTGCTATGTACATCAGTGAGTCCGAACTTGTTAGGGAGTTAAAAGTCAGATATATTTGGTTTTGTTAGGTTAAGGGTAGGAAAGGCTATTTTCTGGAAAGGTGCATTGGTGCTCCCCTGCTTTTTCAATTGGGCCATTTCTGTTTGTATGAAGTGCTAGATAGTGGATACAAATTCACAGAATGGAAGCTTTGCTGAGTGAAAAGTAGATGTTACTGAAAAGAGTTCATAACTTTACATGAATTATTAACAAGGTATGAGAAAATTTTAATCTCCAGATGACGAAAAGTTTTGCAATGTCAAGCCACTTGGGGAAAATGAGCAATCTACTTCGTCTCATTCAATGCATCCTGAAGTTTGCTGCCCCCTGATTTCAGTGCATCTAGCGTGAGAGATGGATCTTTTTTATGTCAGTATATATTGTTGTTCATGAACAAAATGATCCTTTAATAAGGATATTTAATCTCGGTGTTTGAGATGAAATTTATCTAATAAAACCTCCCTTTTTTTTTAGATTAATTTTGTTGCAATTTTCTGGAAGGAAATTTGCCTTGGCCCTTGTATTTTAGTTTTGATTCTTCTTGTCTTTGATCATGATGTCAATAGTGGTTGGATATAGTTTTTCACTATGATTTATAAAATGGAAAAGAAAAAGAAATAAAAAAAGGCAATGCAAAATTTGTTTTGATTTTATATGGGTGTTTCTTATCTATATTATAACTGTGGCCAAACTGGAAATGTGAGGAATTACGGTTAAAGGGACTTATGAGTCTAGCAACTCTGAAAATTGGAGTTGAACAAAATTTTCTGATCTTTGATATGAGTTTGATAGCAATAATACAGTCAAAGCTTTATGGAGGATTCTATAACTTGAATCCTGAGTGAAATAACGGTTTGCTTAAATATGAGAACTTTAGGATCAAAGTTTGGAAGAATTGTCTAGGAATATGATAATAAAACAGAAAGGAGAAATTAAAATTTTCTAGTCTTGTGCTGGAAGCATTGTGTTTTCATAGGAAGAGAGATGTAAAAATTAAAAAAATAAAAATGCAAAGTTTGATCTCTGCTGGGCTGTTAACGCTATACAAAAACAGAAGAAGGATAAAACAAATTGCCAGCTAAACTCTGTCAAGGCACTTTCAACAAGCAAGGAACGGTAATTGGAATTAGTGGATAGCCTTATGATGTGTTTTTCTATCTTTATCATATTGTTTTACTGTTATAGTAATGTTGCATCATGAATCAACACAAACCACCGTCCTTTTACTCTGTGTTACATCCAACACTTTCTCATCTCAAGGCACTTATTCCTTTCTCAATTCTGTTACACCTGATGGAAGTGATTCCTTTCATTCACAATGGCATATTTGTTTCAATAACATGCTTTTATAAAGTTTGTTGCATCTTTTTTCCAAGGCTAGAGTTCGCTCAATTGATCCATAGTCCATGGTCAAGGGTTCTTACAGATGATTTCTCTGAGAATGAATCTTATGGGGTTTTTCTGTGAATCTCTAACAGGAACTGCTTACAGTATCTTTCTATGTATTTCTGTATGAGCTGTTGTGTTATAGTATGAGTAGCAATGAGACTTGTATGGTCTGGTGTTCTCGTGCTATTTGGTGAACAACTTAAGAATATCCAAGCATGAATATGCAGCATCATAATTGCAGTAATTTAAAGATATGATCCAATCACGTTATTCCACTATTGCTCAATCTCTTACAAGTAAAACTGGGGCTAGGACTGGTTGTCTTCCACAAACAGAAGAACCAAAAATGGGAAAAAAGTAAACTAAATATGTTGCATCCATCTTAGCCTAGCAAATCTGAAGAACTCGTGATAGATTGGTTTGAGGACTCGGTTCTAAGATAAGCCGTCTCGCAGGTGATGTCTTCCAGGTCTTTCAATGAAGGGTAAGGGCTACTGAGTTGCATGTCAGTGAGCATTTGACGTAGTTCACAGGTTTCCTCTTTGAGTTGAGCATTTTCTTGAACTACCTGATCATGAGACTCTGATACATGGTTCAGCTTATCTATAAGCTGGTGATTTTCATTTCGGAGCCAAACCACCTGTGACCAGAGCTCATCTAGGTGTTTCTGCTTGCGCATGCGTGATCGGCGTGCAGACTCTCTATTAGATATCATCCTTCTCTGTTTTCGCTCATTGATAAGAGAGAGTTGTTGCTCATCTGCTTCATCAGAAGTTGAGTGGCTGCTCATACATGACGCTTGTAGACCAAATTCTTGAACTTGAGGAGGGATCTGGAAATTATACGATGGATTAGTGAATTGGTTAAATTGAAGCATCTGTGAGCTATTCTGAGTCATGCTGAAATGAGCTGAATATGGGGATGAGTTGGAATTAACTAGATAATGGAGTCTTGTAACCTCACTTGGTTGCATGGCTAAAAGCAGGAAAAAATTTGCAGGATCGAAGCTTCGGAGTTAGAACATAGAAGGTGAACTACTCTAGTTTGGTATTGCGTTGAACGAGGTTAGAAGCCCAAGGTTGAGTCGCCTTTATAGCGTGGAGAAAGTTTGAGGTGACCCCACTGTTGGCAATTTGGAGTAACCGGAGTAATAAAGCATAGGCCACTAGAGTATCATGCAGATCAAGTAATCGTTTTTATGTAGCCTCCAGTACATGTATGCACATGGACATATAATTATACCACTCAGAGTTTGTGAACTGTCTGCCCTCTATGGTCATGCTATGGTTATATCATATATGCATGCCTACAATGACGTGCACTCACATAATCAGGTCCTGCGATTTGTGTTGTGGATAATCATCTGAGATCCAATAATGCTTACATCAGAAGGGAGTTCATATCGTGGGGAGTACAATTATATCATTAGGGAAATGTTTGAGCAAGAGAAAGCGAGGCTGAGAAATAGGGTACAAGAAGTCAATCTTCAAAGTGGAGGCGTATTATTTCAAGCCAAGTTTATTAAGTAGTTTACTTAATGATCTTAAGCCAATGGGACTTTATGACGTAAGGGAATTGGAGGAGAGGGAAAGCCACGCCTTTTTGTTAACCATAAGTAGGAAAGATTATATAAGAGAGTGCATGACTCGACAGCCACTTCACAGAAATAAAAATAATGGATTATAAGTATTCCCTATTAAACTGTTTTTCAGTAAGCAAATACTCTCATATGGATTACTTAGGTATGCTTTATGGCCTGTCATGTCATGGCTGGAATCGATGCCTCAGGAATTATTCAATAAGTGCAGATTCTTTTTCGGAGGATGGCCAGAGCATAATATGGCTATCTCCGCAGAAGCAATTTTCGTTGCATTAGGGTGTGCATGAATGTCAAGTTCTAACAAAACTTATTTGAAGGTCTTGAATTTGTTGTAGATGTACATGTGAACATGCATTTTTAAAACTAACTTAATGTGACATATGATGATATAAGAACAGCCATAATCTATTATTGTTCAGCTGGATTAGATATGAGAACACTACGGAAACAGGGTGGCAACTTTTTAAGTGGTAGTTACGTGTGGTCCAGGATGTTCTTCATGCTAATTGGAAGAAGCCAATAGTTTTCGATTGCCACATATTCTATGTTTTTATAAATACAACAAATGATGAACCTTAGTAGGGAGATTTGAGTGAGAATTGAGATCTTTAATAGTGGGAAAAGGTGATGGCTACTTTTATAGAATCAGAAGGGAAATTTAATTATTCTTCAGAGGAAACCTAATGCAATATAGAAATGCATAATTTGCTGCAGATCTCCTTGCCAGTACCATATTTATAGCAAGCATTAGAGAAATACACCTGACTAGTCATTTCTCTCTCGTTTGGGATGCAAAGTTTTCAGTACACAATTCACATGACCATTTGCTTGTTCAAAAGAAGCAAGGTTGCCCCATAAGGGTGCCATTAAATTTGTGTAGTGGGTTGTTTCATTCACTTTGTTAAAAAGTAATTTCCACCCAAGACCACTAGTTTGAGGACGTTAGCATATCCAGAGGCACATTTTGAGCATTCTAGGGTACCCAAGTCAAATTGTGTAGGCTCTATTAAGAAACTTGGAGAAGATTAGCTTTGATCTTAGCCACACTCGTTAGCTAGTCTCACCAAGTGGAAAGGAATGATCTTAATACATGGTGATGGTACTGGGGTGATATGGATGTACTTTGATGGGCAAGTCCTCCACTAAATGAAAAGGCTCTCTAAGACATCCAGAACCAAAAAATTTACCAAGGCAAATGCGCTCTCTCCCACCCTTCAGGTTGCCTCAGGTTGAGTGGATCAAATGGTCAACATTATCATTAGACAGATGTGGACTTCTCTTTCTTTTCATGTCTTGTGGTTGTCCTTACCTTGTTGCAAATTCCTCGTATATTTCATTTTCCTAAAGATCTGTGTTCAGCTTGTGGATTTTCAGAGTGTAGGGTGGATGAGGTTTTAAAGTTTTTATATTGGTATATCATTTTGTCCATTGTCCTTGTATTGTGCACAGTAAAGTGGATAGAGTATTGGTCAATAGTGCGCAATTTGGACATGCTAATGGCTAACCTTGACAACATCCATATAGTGATGCTTTCAAACAAGAATAAAGAGACTTACCATCCGTATTTCAGTTCCTGATTAGTGCCGAACTGTGATTAATTCTTTGCAAATTTGGAGTGTGCATCAAAATTTGCCAAAAACAGTAACATTTCTGTTTTTGTAAGAATCTTTTGTTTGTAAGCCTATGTTTTCACCTTTTTTTTGTTGTTTCTTGATACTGAACCTTATAATACTTCATTTCAGCTTTTATAGTTAGGTCACTGAAGTGTTCTCTGATTTCAGGTGTAGATTTCTTTACCTGACTCTTCCGTTTGCCCCTAGTCTAATTGACAAACTAGAATGCCGGTTCAAAAAGGTTCATTTAAGTTATTGAAATTTATTTTTAATTTGATATTCCTATATTTCTTTAAGAACAGTGGAAAGGGATATATATATATATATATATATATTGGATTAATTAAATATTGTAACTGCCAAGTATTTTATATCGTGAAATTTGCAAATATAAGCACTCAAAACAATGCACTCTTTGACATCTTCACCATCTGATGCTATTGTTTTCTGAACTTTTTGATAGTACAAGGTTGAATTGTTTTTATCTGGCTGCGTTTGGTCCTTTCCATTCAATAGTATGTATCAGTAGATTATTCTGCTTCAAAAACGAAAACCTACGATACTTTTTTTTAATTTATTTTTATTTAAAAAAAAGAATTAAAAACCTATGATACCTAATAGATAAGCCTTGTGAAAAAGTGCAAAGGGAAAACCCTTTTGTCATCCAAGTTTATTTTTCAAATTTCAAATAATCAAACTATAAACCGTGATTATAGCAAAATAAAATCGTGATTTTTTTTTTTTATTAATGATATAGTGAAACCATACTAGACCGCATGTGTGACAAATCACTGAAGATTTGGCTTAAACTATCAAATTTCTTTCCATTTTTTCTTAATTAAATTTTTTCATCTTTATTCTTTTTTTTTTTTTTTTAAAGAAATAAAATGCCCTCCTTCATCTTCTAACGTGGAAGGAATGATTAAACCCATCTTTTCATCACCAAACTGCATATCTTATCATGCTCCCAAATCATTTCCCATATCTCTTCCCTTTCGCAACCGCACACAAAATCACTCAATCCAAGAACAAGGTAGGGGTAATTTGGAAACATAAATATATCAACTGGAAAACATTTCCCTAGATTAAAGGTTTTGGTCATGCACGGATGGGTACTTGATTTAACTGCCTCCCTCAACTTTTATAGTACAGTAGTGACGGAGGAAAGCATGTGTGACCCAACACAATTCTACTACAATTATTATATTTTTCAATATAAAATATTTTCAAATCAGTTTTTGATATATTTTTTAAAATATATATATATGTTTTTAATTGAATCTCAGGTAAGACATTGATATTATATTTATAAAAAAAATTATTCAAAAAAAAAAAAACCCGGCGCGAATAACAAACATATGGAGTAAACTCATTTAGCTAGCAGACATGCAAAAATCCACTATAATTATTTTACTTCATGAGGTAGGCAGACGAGAAAAACGCAGGCGCACGATAGATGTCACAAGTGGGCCCCTGCTAACAAGCGCGCGTGGGTGCCTAGTGCACCACCCCAGCTCCCTATTGCATAGCCTGTCAATTCAACCAAAAAAGAATTGGCCTTTCCTTCTATAGGGCTATTTGCTTTGTTTTTTCCTTTCGGTTTTGGCTTTGTTTCTTTCTTCTCGCACCCTTTTTCGGCGGGCCCTTTTTCTTTCAGGTTCCCTACAGCATCCATTAAGAGTAGCTTTGCAAATTGGGTGTTGTCACTCGTACCATTTGTGCACCCCACTAAGGCTACCTTCACAAATTTTGTTGGATTGTGATCCAATGAAAATTAAGGGCATCCATATTTTATTTTATGCCAAGTCTCAATTACGTCCAAATGATTTTTTTTTTCACTCAATAGGGTTACTAAATTTTGAAAAAGAAAAATCTCAATTAACTCCCTCCATGTCCATATTTGTTAATTGATTGTCCATTCTGTGCAACTGAAATTAAATAAAAATATGAAATTCAACCATTCCAAAAAAAAAAAAACAAAAAAAAAACTACTGAAAAAGAAAAGCACCAAACATGATTTATTCAAACCACATGATTCTCTCACCTTTTGTATGATTAACTTAGTTGCTCTGCCTGTTTTATAGATAGAGATTTAGTGGGAACACGTGTGACATTTTGGAGCAAAAGCATAGAAATTTCATGCATCTTCTCCACCAGCTACTTTAGTGTTTTCTTCCCTAAAAAAATATATTTTCCTCTAGTGAAGTCATACACGAGATCTCTAGAGATTGGCCGATAGAGGATAAGCTCATCATCAGCTAACACCTTCTTCATCATTTCTCCTTAATTTTTGATGCACTTTTAATTCTGCATTAAAAAAATGACCTTTGTTAGACTAAGTTTTTATTTTAATTGTAAAGTCATTGTTTAACGCAACAATAAGATTGTCATCCTGGGTGTAATGTGTAATTAAATGTTGGTGCATTTTTGAGTAAGACTAACCCAACACACAGATTCGTATATTGCATCTTACGCACTTGTAATTAAGGTCTTGATCCACTAACAAATGTGGATAATAAAGGTGTTTTGTTTATATTATTAATTTCTAAATGGGCATTAATACATTATATTATATTATATGATGAATTACATTTTGTATTTAAAAAGGTGAATAGAATTTCATCATCAATAGTTTATATACTCCATATTTGCTGTTTCTGTTGTAAAGTCGAATGCCTTAGATTATCCACAAGAACTATTCAACTTTTTTTATATTTAATTTTTGTATGATATTCAGTTTTAACGTGGCACGACTGCATC